AGGTTCCAGAGGAGGATCTTTCCTGGCTTCTTCCAGCTTCTGATTGCCAACAATTCTTGGTACTGCTACTACATCATGAAGGGATGTTTCATGGGATGGAACTAGCATCTCCCTGTGCTCCTGCCTCAGGCCTGCTCCACATGCAGGGGCGGCTAGTTACAAGGGAACAGTCACAAATGGTCCCAGATCAAAGAACACTGAGAACAACCCCTGTTCCTTTACCAAGGCTTCAGTGGCCCATGTTTCACTCAAAACTGATTTTACTTCCAACAGAGGCTGAGCCCTATTATCATTACTTAATGTCAGTGTAACGGCAGTGTGATACCCAGGCTTCCACACAATACATCATCCCTGCAGACTTGGATGCTAGCAGGACACAGCAGAAATACAGCCTCCCAACTTCCCAATGTGCTCTTGGCCATCAATATTGATGACGCATCATCAATCAAATCCAGCAGGCTTTTTACGTGCTCTCATTTTTAACCAAGCCTTACCATGCATTACAATGGAATATTTAAAGCCATGTACACATTTTATCAAGCCTTCATGACCACTAAACGCTCTCTGGTTTGCAGTTCCAAATATTATTCATTACATCTAGAGAGATGGTGTGCTAAAATAAAAAAATATATATATATAGGAACAGAGTATGAATGAGGACAGGAAGGGAGGGAGTCACCATCAAAATCTGTTGTCTGCACCAAGCCTAGAATTCAGATCAGTAATGTCAGGGAAAAACTTACTCCCCCCTCTGTCTATTCCCTTCTCATTTTCTGACCTTGGAGTCAAGTTATTTGCCTCAAATCCTAGCCCTCCACTGAACTTCCGTAGGTTGCTGTGCCTCTTCCAGCCTCACTGTACTCATCCAAGGAACAGGAGTAATTCTACCTAGTCCATGGCACCCCTACTCAGTAACTGACTTTTGATTATATGACTCTTGTACCAGTCAGTGTCTTAAAAGCCTTTCACCTTCACTGTGTACAGACAGACCAAGCCTCAGGAGCAGGCGCAAGAGCAGCAGCATGTGGATGGACATTCAGCATTTGGTCTGCCACACATCCTGCAGTGTGCTTCGTGTGCATTATTCCCAACAACCCAGACAGGCAGCTCATTGTTTCTCATTTTACAGATAAGGATTCCCAGGTGTTATTTTTTATAAATTTGCTGCATAGTCACGTTGTGACTTTCAGCAGGTCACTGACTCCTAGTATGGCTTCTGTAAGCATCCTTCCTGTGCATGCTCAAGGATTCACTCCTTGTCGCTTTGTCATAGAGAGCACACTCCAGCTTAAATTCTGTGTCAGACACTACCTTAGCCCTGTGGAGATCAAGACCATGGCTTACTCATATCTTTATCTCTGTTTCTATCACCCAGTAGCTGCTACATGAATATAGGATGAATAAATTAATGAAGAGAAAAGAAAGGTCTCAATCTGTGATGAGGAAGAGCAAGTACATTGTATTCCATGCCCCCCAAATCCATGGTACACAAAACGAAAACTCTTGTACCATTCTGTTCTAATTATGGACTCAAACTCAAAATCCTTCTCTGCACTGCACTCCAGCAATTACTTCCAAACCATTAGAGTTGGCAGAGCAATCTTATCAACTGTTCTTGATGTAGCAATGACTGTTAAAGATCACCCAACCACTTCTCCCTTGTTTTTGCAAGCAAGTTTATATTTCAACTCTGTACAGTGGCTGTGCCCAAATGACAGAGTTCCAGGTAAGCAAATGTGTATGGGTATCATGGGCATCAGATCCAGGGCTACTATGTCCATCTCTCCCATGTGCCTCTCCCATGCTGCTTGCTCACTTCTCAGATAAAACCCATGATCTTAAAAATGTTCATGTTGAAGATAGTGGAGCCACAATACAGAAAATTCCTGAAGCCTAAAATCATTACTTAGTGGACATTTATCTGTCATTCAGGAAAATTCATTTGTAAGAAAAAGAATTAAACACTAACTGCATATTTTGCACTGCACATTTCAACTTAGTATCCTATAGAAACCAGTTTTGCTCCAATTAATAAAACTGGATTACTTTTTAAAAAACTCTCTTCTTGCTCCAGATTTCTATGATTCAAAAACTTTTCATTTGTTATATAAGTAGCCAAAAGGCACTTTCTAATAGCTTAATGAGGCATATACACTTCTGGGTATATTTACATCATATTACAGGGCACCGTGTGCTCAGCAAGTATAACTTTTAGCTCTGGGAAATACTTAAAAGAATTACAGGATGTAATTTCTATCTTCAATCTGTAAATTGTCTTCTTAGGAAAACAGTCATCTGAAATGGCTGTCTATCCCAAAGCAACATCCAAAGAAACATAGCAGCAAGTGACATGATGAACAGATGTGACACAACTACATCATTACTCATGAATCTCAGACAAGTTACTCACCCACACCTACCACCAACACCCAAAAGCTCATTTTCCTCCCTCAACAATACATACATATAAACACACAAACTGTACTCATTTCATCGGACTGAAGATACTTTAAGTAAATCCAACTGAAGCACATTTAGCAATAACTAGTAAATTAAATGTTTGGTAAGTGTTAGCTTCCATTTTCAAAATGGAGGACAGACTACTGTGGGCTAGAAAAGCAGATAAATTATTATATATAAGATCATCATATCTACTAGAATAGCAAATGTACAAGAGAAGAGGAAGAAAGCAGGATATGTATGCTCCACTAAAATGTACACATATCGAAGAAAATCGTAAGGAAATCTGGACATGTGGCAGATGTTGAAGAAATAAATAATTCTTACTAGGATTAGACTCTGTAGTTGCTTAAATGCTAATATGAGAAATTTTGTAAAATTTTAACCTAGTTTATGAAAAAGTACATAGAGAAGGAAGATGAATAGGTGGATGAATTAATGGAAGAATGAAAGGAAGACAAAACAGACAAAAAAGAAAATGAGGCGGATCATTTGGCATTTGACAGTGCAATGCAGCTGAAAGCACTCATGCTTGGAAATAATAATGACCTGGATGGAAATTTCCACTCTGCTTTGTATTATTACACGTTTTGAATTAACTGCCTTGTCTCAATAAGCCTAAGTTTCCTACTATAAGAAGGGTGTCACATTCTCCCACCACCCTACTGCTTGATGAGAATTAAATGAGATAAACTATCTGGAGCCTGGCACAGCATCTGACCGAAGAGTAAGCTCAGTCATACACTGCTTCAACATCGATGCAGCACTATGAGCACCCTGCAGTCAAGATGAAGTCATGTTCAGTAAATATTAGCCTTCCCCTTCTTATGCCATTTAGTTAGTTAGCAAAAGCCTTCTTTTTCCCTTCAACAGCACTGAAAATTTGGTTCCCAGCCTGAGTCTGGCTAGAACCCAAACTGGCAGTCAATGTGAACAAAAACAAAAGCCCAGAAAATGCTACTATCTCACAAAGTCCTGAGCAATGTTTCAGCATTGACACATCTTTATTAGGGTGTAGGCCTGGCATGCAAACAGGTGCTGCTCAGTCTTCCCTCCCTCTACCAAACCAACATGTGCCTAGCTCCCAGAAAACTCCTTTTCAGACACTCCTTTCTATACCTGGATCCCTACTTGCCACTGACTGGTAAATAAGCACAACCTGCCTTCCATGGTTTCCTCATCACTCTGAAATAGCCTTTGCCACACTGTACAAAATGGCACCTGATGCGTCACTCATGGAATTCTTGATCTGCTGGCCATTAGGTCTGGAGCTACCCTATTTTGGGTAGAACCTCCAGGACGCCATGTCGTTGCAATTCACTGAGCCTGGAATGAGTTTACTCCCAGCTTAGCGCATGTGCAGTACCATCCCACTTTCCCTTTGCCTACCTACACAAGACGGAGCCAAATTTGGCTCTACATGGGGTTTAAACTGTGAAATCCACCCTGTCCCGCACTGCTCTGTCTCTGCTCCTGGTCAAATCAAACAAACCAACAGAATGGGAAGTTTTCTGTCTGGGTTTACCTCCTGAGCTCCCAGTGAACTCCCATTTCCACCTGGTTGCTGGTGAAGTTCCAGCTGCTGGTACAGTTCAGATCACTTCTCACTGACTGCCACTCAGGCATCTGGTTACTGCAACACCACACCATTGTCTCTGCTACTTTTCTGTGTCCATCAGTCTCCAGGTGCCCCTTTGCCATTGGTCCTCCTCTCCTATCTCCTGGAATGTGCCCTCCCTGCTTCACCCTGGCTAATATTTTGCCATCTGTCAAAACATGTCCTCACCCTATTCTGCCACCTGGATTATCCTGTTAAATATACCTTGACAACAGCATAGGATGCTGCACTCTCTGCCACTGTCTATGCCTACAATGTCATGATACATTTAAATAGCAGAATGAGGGACTTGTGACTCTTGCTGAAGGAATATACTCTTGTAATAATATGGGGGAACAGTAAAGGTTAGTTGAGGGGGTATAAGGAGAAATCTCTGTGCCTATGGAATCATATCATGAAAAATAATAAATAAAAACAATAACAACAACAAAATCAACCACTCTGAGAAAATTATAGTGGTGGAACAAATATTTCTTTGCTAATTTAGATCAAAACATTGAGAAAAAATAGAGTGAGTCTGCCAGCCAGGAGCCTCCCACTGCTCACCAACAGAAGAAGTGCTTTTGAACACTTCCCCCACAAACACGGCAAAAGCTGTACCCTGCTGAGCAGCCCAAGATCCAGCCGTGGTGCTGCAGGGATAACCCTCACAGCAGGTCACCAGAGGCCAACACTGGCAATTTCCTGACAGATTTGTCTGTGTCCCTGAAATGCCATGTGTGTTGAAAAAAACAGTTGTGCAAGTGGGGAAAAATGAGGAAGGATCAGAGCATTCTCTAAAATTATATTTAAAAGTAATAATAAAACTGTAGCTGTAGCAGAAAAGGTAATACAATGAGAGAAACTGCTTGCCATGGAAGTGAGGCTAGGGATGAGCAAAGTGGCATGTCCTAAGAAGGGAAGGGCACTAGATGTGACTTACTTGGAGAACTTGTAGGGTTCTGCACAGTAGCCATCTTTGCAGGGCCATCCATAATATGTCAAGGATCTAGCAATTATGAATGGAAATGAGGGGCACATTGTTCAGAAACTAGAAACATGCTGTTCAAGGCATTAAAATGCACAACTTTTTCCTTTCTTCCACAGTCTTCCTCTCAACTTGTCATGATACTTTTTATTTGCTATTTAATGTCATTCCAAGTAAAGAGAAATTAACATTTTAAATTATTAACATGAATTTTACCATTTATCTTTGTATTTGCGGTGCCAGTTTCAAAGGCAAATATGGGAGTCTTTAACTAGTATGCAGACTCACAGAAATCATGCACTTAGTATTCCATAGCTCCCACATGCATATGTATTTCATTCTTACCAGAACAGAGCAAATACGACATCAAACTATTGCAAGTGCTTTCTTTCCTTTCCTGATACACATGCTTGCTGCCTACACCTTACTGATAAGCAAGGAGGAGTAAAAGGAAAAGGAACTATGCAACATCCATCTTTACTTTCTCTTCACTTCCAACATAAGTAGCTCCCCAAACCAGGGAACTGACGAGTAGGAAAGTCCTGTTTATCCTTCATGTCTCCACAGGACATCACTGTCTTCTTTCTGCACTCACAGCAAGCTCTGGCTTGAAGGAAAATGGCTTTCTCAGGGCCCTTTGCTCCTTTGCATACTTGATCATACCTAGAACATGCCTACCTGGCACTTGCTCTGAAAGTATTCCCATGCTTCATAGACCCACAGGAATTTCATCCTCAGGAGGCACTGGAAAATCCATATGCCAACAGGATCGTAGCAATCAGTGGACACATACATATAGTGTATGTCTCCTTTGGTCATGCACAAGCTCCGCTGGGCCATCAGAATTCACTTGAAAAGTTTAGAGATAAAATTATCAAAGATTCCAAAACAGTGACCAGAGCAATGACACAAATGTTGAGTCCTCTGAGTATAGAGCCCTAAGGTTTGCTTGCTTTTGAACTTATGAGCTTACTCAAGGAGCCCTACTCCTAACAAGAATTGGGGCCCCCTAGAAGACAAGAGTTAGTATTCCATGTGACCAAAGGCAATCTTTCTTGACTTGGGATCTTTGCTCAGAGAAGTGGATTGAAAATATCCCTCCCCCACCAAAAAAATGTACACACACACACACAAATGTTCAGGTCCTAATATTTTTCTATTATATTCATGTCCTAATCCCTGGTACCTATGAATGGGATATTACTTGGAAATGGAATCTTTAAAGACAAGAACCTCTAAAATGAACCATCCTGAATTTAGGAGAGGGCCCAAATTCAATGACTAAAGTCTTTGTAAAAGAGAATGAGATTTGAGACATGCAGTCACAGAGGAAAAGCAGAGCAGACAAAGTCACATGAGGACACATACAGAGACCAGACTGATGAAGGCAAAGACAAGAAACAACAAGATTCACCAGAAGCTAAAATGAAGAAGAGTTAATTCTTCCTTAGAGTCAAGGCCCTGTGGAAGCCTGATCTTAGACTTCTGGCCTCCAGAACCGTGAAAGAATAAACTTCAGTTGCTCTAAATTTGCAGTGATTTGCTATGGCAGTCCTAGTGAGTGGTGCATTCATGACTTTCTGCTGGGGCTGTCTACCCTATTCCACCCTATGCCACTGTTTCTAAAGCATTTATCTGAATGCCTAACACTTAGGTTTTCTTTAATTAATGGTAGCTCACACACAAGCTCCAAAAGCACAAGGACCTTGACTATCAGGACTTCTTCATATCCTCAATGCCTCACAAGTCTAGGGGCTCAATATGCAGCTTTCAAATCAATGGGAATGAATCAAAGATGAATCCCTTAAGACTTAACATGAGTTTGACCTTTACTCAGTATGTTCCTCCACCTGTTTCTAGATATCACCAATAGTACTGTTGGAGTGCATTTACTAATCCAATCAATAACTATCTGTTCGTCTACTATAATCCTAGCTCTATTCAAGGTGTTGTGGCTGCCATGACAATAAGATAGTGGAAGCCCTTGCTCTCGTGGTGCTTTAAGAGACGTGCTAGAGGTAGATAGTACACAAAGAAACAAAGAACAGTGTAATAATATTTCAAGTAGGAATAGTCACTGGTTGATAAAAGGATAATGGCAAGAAGGCAGGAACTATTTTGAGTAGGATCTTTGAGGAGATGCCTCTTCATCCAAATGAATGAAGTGTGGGAAACCTACCATGCCAAAGGATGATGGAAAAAATTAACCAGAGAACACAGTAAGCATTAGGGTCCTGCAGCATAGAAGGTTAGAAGATGAATAAGAATGACATGCACCAAGGGGACACATTATTTTTCTAAGAAATTACACTGGCAGTTTTAAGTGGAGTGTGATGTGATCTGATCTAAATCCCCTGGCAGCTTTGTAGAGAACAGACTCAAGTGAGTGCAAAGTGTAAATAAAAATCAAAGAGAACCATTCGTCTCTTGCAACCACCCAGTCAATGGGGTATGATAGCATGCTCAAAGTCTTTGTTCAATGAATTCTAAAGCAGCAGTGCTGCACACAGGCATTTCCTATGGAAGCTCTTAAATAAAATTTACTCATTTAACCTGCCTGGACCATATTTGTGCTGAGTGTTCAATGAATGTTTGTACATGGAGATGGCAGTCCACGGGCCCTGCTCATTGGTAGTCATGCTGATTCAAGGCTTCCAAAGCCTGATGCACCCAGGTGCTCCGAATCCCACAATAAGGTAAAGGAATACAGCATAAGGCAATGTTATCTTCATCTGCTACCTGATATACAGCAAAGCAAACTGGCACATCAGCTAGCAGGAGCATCTGCCCATTATTTATCCAGTAAGCAATCTGAGTTATTTTGCTTGGCCTTGCTACTGCCAACCACAAATGTCAGAAAATATGAATGCCATAAAGGCTCCTTGTGCATAGTATGTAGAAGATACTGGATATTCCTTTTGGGGGTTGTGATTCCACCTTCTGCGAGATGGTCAACAATAGGGTTTTTTTTTTCACAATATTGTTAGTCATCAGATATGTAACCTGCCACATACGTCCCCTGGAACCGGCTCAAAGTTGAATGACTGAGAACATATCTTTTACTGCACAGGAGATTGATATCTCCTTGAAAGCAGACCTGATTCCTCCTAAAAGATTCCTCTCTATCAGTTTAAGTAAGATGCTTCTTCCTGAAGGGGTATGGCAAGATTATGAGCTGGTACTCCTCCCCCCTTGATGTAATTTTATTTTTTAATTAGTTACTTTTTGTTGGAAGGACAAACTTAGAGAAGAGAAACAGATAGATATCTTCCATCCATTGTTTTATTACCCAAGTGGACGCAATGAACAGAGCTGAGCTGATGCAAAGCCAGGAGCCAGGAGCTTCTTCCAGGTCTCCCATGTGGGTACAAAGTCCCAAGGCATTTGGGCAATCCTCTGCTGCTTTTCCTGGCCACAGCAGGGAGCCAGATGGGAAGTGGAGTAGCCAGGACATGAATGGGAGCCCATATAGGATCTTGCACTTGGAAGTGGAGGATTAGACAGTTGAGCCAACTTGCTGGCCCATCCCTGATATAATTATTTCAGGTATCTTTCAACAGCTTGGACCACAATCCTCATGTAAGTTAGGAACTCCACTCAGACTGAGTGACACTTTATCTTACACGTTACCAAGACATAAGTCATTTTGTAAAAGCAGGTTTAACGGATTTAATTTAACAACCCAAAAGGTCTATAGTAATAGCACAGCACCCAGAACCCTCATTGATACATATCATGGGCTTAATAAATGGAACAAATAATTTTGCTTCACAACCTCTCATATCAATGGTGAAGTATTAAGTCCTCTCAGCCACTCCTGTGCCCATTCTCTGAGCACCTGTACAATGAGCAGGTGACTAGGAAATCACAAGATCATGTTGTTATCATGAGCTTGTCCATAACTTGGATTCCTATATAGTTTTAAAGAAGTGAAAAATGAAAACAAATGGAAGTGCCTGTGGAAATGATCATTTGGAATGATATATCCCCAACTGTGCTCTGAGCCTACTGACCATAATAAAGGCAAAAGGAGTTATGGTCACATATAATGAAATATCCTCATTCCCTACTCTGAGCCAACTGACTGTGATAATCCTACCTTTGACTGTCCAGAGCTGAAGAAGCTGGAGATGCCATCTGATTCAAACACAGGCTTTTACAGACAGAACTAAGTCAAAAAATTTCATGTGCATTCAAAGAGACACAAAGTCTGTCATTATTTTGGCAGCAGATGCTTGAGGTCATGATGTAGATAAGGGGTTGGAAAACAACCCACCACTAACCAAATCTGGCCTGCCACCTGTTTTTATTAGTAAAGTCTTACTGGAATGCAACCATGTCCATTTGTTTGCATATTATCTCTAACTGTTGTCATGCTGTAGTGACAGAGTTAAATTGTTACAACACAGTCTGTATTTCCTACAAGTTAAAAATATTTACTATCAGTGCCTATATAGAAAAGGTTTGCTGACCTGCGATGTAGGTTCAGGTCTGACAGCTGCACTGGGTATCATACATAAGACTTTAAGAGATATAGAAGTCAACACCTATGAAGTTCCAAAGTTTCCAATCCTACACTTTATGAAATATTACTTTATTTTTGGTTTGGTAAATATACCACACATCCTTAAAGTGAGACTTCTTTTCCTTGAGCTACCTTGAATGGGCTTATATTTATTACTGCCAGAGACCTGGGTTGATCCAGCAGATCAGAACAATCAATCCACATGTGCTAGGAAGTAGGGGACAACATTTCAAGAATCTTAAGAAGAGATATCAGGTCCCATGTTGCTCCTTGAGCTGGTATTCCAGCCCACTAACCACCCCCAAGCAGTGATATCCTTCAACACAGGTTGCATAAAGATGTCTGTGTTTGTCCTGAAAAAAATCCACAAAATTTTGAATAATTTTTCTTAAGACTTCTAAGTATCCAGATCAGGGGATTAGGGAGGAAGATCTGTGGGTGGACTATCTATCTGAAGACACTGATCTGATTGTTAAAGTTGTTTGTTCATGCATATAGGTAGGTCCACGGTTTAACAACCTTTCTTTCTTCATAAATTCATGAGGGCAAAGCTTAGCACAGCAGGTAAGATGCTGCTTAGGACATCCATATCCTACGTCAGAGGGCCTGGGTTTGAGCTTCAGCTCTTCTTCCAATTCTAGCTTCCCTCTGTGGCCTCTCCTGGGAGGCAGCAAATGACAGTTCAAATACTTTGACCCCAAACAACCCAGTGAGAGACCCACGTGCGAGGAAATTTCAAAAGCACCCAGAAACATATTTTATGCAGGACCCTAGGGCTCCAAATATAGCATTAGAAGCTAGCCCTGCAATAGTTCAATGCCTCCTCTTAGGTCTATCTTCTCTCATCTGTTACGCGTATTCACTTCCTTACACCTACCATGTGGCAGCTCCACTACAGGCACTGGATGTGCAAGAATGAATATGACAGGCAAGATGGCTTGCTATCCCAGAGTTTGCATTCTAGTGGGACTTGAGCAGAGAAGACAAAAACCTAGTAGACAGAAACAACCCTGTTTCTGATAGGGAGTAATCCAGCAAAAGATCTAATATGGGAAAAACTGCTTCCAAACCACCTCTCTGAAGTAGCAAAATACAGTTAACAGAACTGAACAATGTTAAGGGTTGGGACCTTCTGACAACAAAAACTAGAAACCAAAGCCTGGGTTAGGACTGCAATGAACCATAGGTTTGAGGTCTCTGAGGGTCAGATGCCTTCCATGTTTTCCTCCATATGCCAAGACTGACATTGACAGGTACTCAGCATTTATTGATAGACTACTATGTGGTGCCAATTTTCTCAAAACATATTGGATCAACTTAGCAGTTGAAATATATCAGTTGCACTCCAAAACTGGTGACTTAAACCCAAAATCATTGCCCATGAGTCTCTACCAGCTGCAGGGCCCTGATGACCAAGAAAAGGCTAGACTGAGCTCAGCATCAATGGCTAATGTTCTTGGGGGCAGCTGACAGTTGGTAGCTAACTTGTCTAAGATGGCCTCGCTCACATATCTGGTCATTGGTTACTGGGGTTACAGGTGAGCTGGATCATCAGTCCTATGACATCCATTTGCCCTGGCATTGTTCACATGGCAGAAGCAAATTTCCAAGAGTACAAGGCTTTGGTTTAGAAACAGCATGCCATCATGTCCACTGCATTATACAGGCCAAAACAAAGCTCAGATGGACCCAGATTCCCAGATTTCTCAGCAATAAGAAACAGATGTTATACCTTACTGGGAGGAATAGCAAAGTCGAATCACAAGGAATGTGCAAATCTTTTGTGGCCATTTTTGCAATCTACCTTCCAGGTATACATGAAAATCCATGGCTATAAATAAAGATCGTGTGGCACACAGGGAACGCATTGTTGGAGGTCCCTGGAGGGACACTCCAAGGAGATGAGCTGTTACTCTTAGAGCTTATGCAAGACACAATTTCTCACCCTGCTGGACAACAGCTCCTAAGAGCACGAGCAGTGGTATTCAATTATTTGATTTTTTTTCCTAGTGAGAATAGGGAGTAAAAATACTATCAGAGTTAGGATGACCACAATTCTTTAATA